TGATTTTATGAGTACTCAGTGGCAGAGGCTTTTGCTGGGAGTCAGTTATTGCTCACTACATTGGTGTTTTTTTGGCATGTGGATCCTCTGTCCTGTTCCACTTGTTGGAGCCATCAACTTGTTGTCATCACTTGTGATGACAGTGAAGAGCACCAGGTTCCTCAGGCTCATGACAGCACAGCCAACATCTCCCTTTAACACCAGACACCTCATTTCAAAACTCTCTGAGGAAGCACACTTTTTACAGCAAGCAGGTTTTGGTTTGGTTTGGTTTTGTAAAAAGTCAGACATTTCTAGTAGGGAAAAGTTGAAGCCTCACAGGTTTTGGGACCTTTTTGAAAGTCAAAGATACCACAAAGCACATGGAGATTTTTTCTCTGGGTAGGAAAAGGTTGAAGCCTCACAGGTTTTTGGGCCAGGAGGAGCCCTCAGGGCTGGCAGTGTGTTCTCCCATGTGTGTAACACAGCCCCAGAGTGCCCTCACCCCTTCTCCAGCACACCTCAGCATGGGTTTGGGGACACACAAGGTGCTCACCCACCATGTCCAGCCATGGCCCTGCAGCAAAAATGTCACAACAACCTCACCCACCTGTCACAAGACTGGAAAAAATATCACAAGAGAAAGAGAGAAGGAAGGAAGGAAAGAGGCAAAGAGAGATAATGGCTTCTTTTTCTCTGCCTTCTGCTCTCTGAGTCATGGTTTTCAGTTTTGCTCCCCAACCACAGAGTCTCAAACTTGGTCTAAAAAAGCCTTGTGAAGTCAAGGTTCACTTTAGCCCTGTGGCTCTTGGGCTGAGGCTTTAAATACCTCAGTCAGGGCCTTAGTGAGCTGTGTCAGGGCATCTCTGCACCCAAACTACGCTCAGCCCTTCTCCCACTTCCCCTCTTTGAAAGCAGCCTCATGGTTCATGAGCAGGTTGTAAATGAGTCATCTCTTTTTCTGCCCCTGTCCCCCTTGGAGTTTGATTGAACTTGTTGTTTCTGCTTCATTTGAAGAGATGTGAGCTGTGTCCCCACAAGGATGGAGCCCTGAAACGCACTGACAACGGGGGTGAGTAGCTCTGGGCTGAGCTGGGGAGGCCTGGGTGGAAAATCAGTCCTGGGCACCAGGGAGGGAAGGTTGAAGGCTGCAGAGGGATGGAACACTCTGCTTTTTCCTTATAAACTTCACTTCTGAACCTTCCAGCTTGAGAAGTCCTTTCCTTTGGGGAGGAATGCCTGACCTCTTGCTGACATCGAAGCCTGGCCCTGAAATGTGCAGTTTTTAGCCTCTCAGGAATCATTTCACAGTCTGAAATGTGGAAGTTGCAGAGTTGTTTGCTCAGCAGCAATGTGATCCTTGAGTGAACACAGCCTCAGCTCTGAGATTCCACCCCAGAGCAGTGCCCAGGATGCAGGAAAGGTGTTTTGCTGTGCAGGATTTACCTGCTCATTGTTGATGCTGCTCAGCCTCAGGTGTTGGGAGGTCCTGTGGAGTCTTCAGTGGGCAGAGCTTGCAGCTCTCAGTGCTGTATAATCAAGCTTAATTTTTCTCAAAACCTTCCATTTCAGGGAGGCTTCTGTACCTCCCTGCCACTTAAAGAGTGAAATCAGGCAAGGAGGTGTTTATTCTGATAAATCTCATAGTTAGAGCATGCTAATTCCAGGATATTTTACAGAGGCATCTTCTGGAGATGGTCAGAAGTGCCAAGAGGCTCAGTGCAATGACAAGTGTCCTGTTGGGGATCTTCTTCCTAATATAACATGATGTGATGTGACCAGGTCTGTGTAGAGAGGCGCAGGGAGTGCCACAGCCATGTCACTGCACAGAGTAACTCAGTGCTGGATGTATTTATGGAGTTTGGTTCCCCTTGCCCAGGTGAATCCATCCTAAGTCTTGCTAAATCCTTCCAGTGCAGTAGCCACAGCAGCGTGGATCAGCCCCCCAAACACTCCTGACCTTCAAACTGTCTCAGTTCTGTCCTGACCAGATGGAATTTCAACTTCTACATCTGATTTGGAGGATTTAGATTTTAATCTAACTTGGCTTGCTGAAAAGGAGCTCTTTACCCATGGATAGGAGCCCATAAAGGGAGCTTTGTTCCCGGTGCACGTCCAACCTGTCCCTTCAGCATCATTTACTGCTTGGATGCTTTCCCTGGGCTTGGTTTTCTCTCCATCTCTGGCCCTCAAGTCCTGAGGGGATGCTTTTAAGCATGATGAGTGCTGTACTTGTCTTTCCCAAAGAAATCTCTGCTTTCTTATTTAATCTGGAGGTGGTATCTGTCTATCTTTCACCCACAAAGGATTTGATTCCCCACCAAGTTACAACAAGCATATTTCAATCTAACATCTCCCTTAGGTTGGCTGCCATCCTACACTCCCTTCCTGCTCTCCCTCCCATGCCTGTCTGCAGCCCTGTCTGGGTTGGAGACTTTTTTGGGGTGCCCTGTGTGACTCTCTGCTGTCTCCTTTGCTCCCCCAGGCTGGGCCCATGTCGTCTGTGCTCTGTACATCCCAGAGGTGCAGTTTGCCAACGTGCTCACCATGGAGCCAATCGTCCTCCAGTACGTCCCCCACGATCGCTTCAACAAGGTGAGACCATCCCACCTTGGCTTTTTTGGGGTCATCTTATTCCACCACAGCTTCTGCCCAGTGTATTTTCATTTCCAGGTGCTCAGATTCCTTTAAAAAAACCTGACAAAGTGAATCCTTGAGGTTTTGGTCCTCCTTGTCTCTCTTCCTCAGTTTGCTGCAGCTTGAGGAATCTCCTGGTTGAGCAACTTGAGGAAACTTGAGCTGTGGAGTTGTGTGGTGGTTCCTCCACGTTTTGATGTGACACAAGTGTTATTTGGGGAGAAAAGGAAAATGCTTTGTGTGTCCCACTGGGATATAACCCAAAGCTGGTGGTGTAGGAGAGAGACAACCTGAGCTAGTGGGAGATGTCCCTGCCCATGGCAGGGGGTTGGAATTGGAAGAGTTATAAGATCCTTCCCAACCTTTCCAACCCAAACCTGAGAGTTGTTACTGCTCAGAGGCAGATTGACAAAACCAAAAATGACATCTACAACACATCAAAGGGATTGTAGCTGCCTCATCCCTGGAAGTGTTCAAGGCCAGGTTGGATGGGGCTTGGATCAACCTGAGCTAGTGAGTGGCATCTCTGCCTAAGGTCCCTTCCAACCCAAACCATTCCATGAGTTCATGAGATGCCTGGACACAGGAGTTCCTGAAGGCTTTTTCTCCTGGTTAGCAGCATTTTTCTTGTTTCTTTTCCAGACCTGCTACATCTGTGAGGAGCAGGGCAGGGAGAGCAAAGCTGCCTCTGGAGCTTGCATGGCCTGTAACCGCCACGGCTGTCGCCAAGCATTCCATGTCACCTGGTGAGTCCCTCAGGAGCCACCTCAGGAATGTCCCAGCCCTTGGCTTTGCTGCTCTGGCTTGAGGCTGCACTCCTTGGGTGCTGTGAGGAGCTGGGTTAACCACCGTGGGGTTATCTGGGGCCAGAGGTATCTCCTCCTCGCTCGGTTTGGAAGGGGAAGTTCCCTAGGAAGGCTGAGGTTATTCCAGGGAACTTTCCCTGCTGGGAAGAGGGTTGGGGATTTCCCTCAGACTCTGTGGAATCCAAGGAGAGAAGAGATGAGTCACAGCCCAGGAATGTTCCTTCTGCAGCAGAGTAGCAAGAGTATCCTATCAGCTAAAGGATGTGATTTTAGGGGTTGATATCCTCAGGTACCCTCAGAGCCTGAAAACAACATTGCCTGGCAGAACAGAGAGATTCCCAATTTTACCTGCATTCCTTGCTCATGAGATGTGTTTGTTGGAATTATTACTGCTCTCCCAGGCTTCCCTTAAAGAAAAACAAAACCTGCAAGACAGTCTGGTTAAAAAAAAAAGGCAGTTTTAAAGTTCTTAATTAGAATAGCCTGAATTTTTCCCCCACCTCTTCCCATACCGTTTGCCAAGCAGAACAGGAAACCTTCAGCCCCTACCTGGGTACCCTGAGTTACTCTTTGCCCTGTGATGCTCTAGCTGTGCAGTTTCTCTTCCCCTGCTGCTCACTGCTGTGTTTCAGTGCCCAGATGGCAGGTCTCCTGTGTGAAGAAGAAGTCCTAGAAGTCGACAATGTCAAATATTGTGGCTACTGCAAGTACCACTTCAATAAAATGGTGAGTTTCTTCCTCCCTGCAATGGAATTTTATGTTTTTTTTGTCACGTAATTGGCTTCATCCTAAGTTGGGTCTGTGCTGAGAGCAGTGAGAAATGCCAAGAACACATAAACAAGGTTGCAGCCAGCTTTGCTTTTCAGCCATTCACTCACAGTTACTTCATAATTAAGATTAATTGGTATTTTTGCATCTCTGTAGCATCTTTAAACCCATTTTCAAAATTGGGGGTTGAATTATTTGAATTCTTTCCATATTTTGGCTTCCCTGACACACTTTATGTCCCAAGAAAGGAAAGCAGCCATGGTTTTGGCTTCCCTGACACTCTCTATGTCCCAAGAAAGGAAAGCAGCCATGAGGCTTGATGCTCCAGGGGTTTGATGCTCCAGGGAATTAGAGCTGTAGCTCAGGCACTTTGGGCATGAGGGAAACACAGAACAGCCAAAGCTTCTTCCTGAGGTCAGAGACAGCTCAGAGGAGCCATGGAGCCATTCACATTTTGAGGGATATTTAGAACAAACAACTTCCCCCTGTTAATTACAGCATGAGAGGAAAGAGAGGAATCCTTTTCCTGTCCTGCATAATGAGTAGATACCTGCTCTCCCTGCTCCAGCTAAAAGGAAACTTGATCTTCTCGCTGAGCTCTGTCTCAGTGGCTCCTTTGTCAGTGGCCTTTCCCATTCTCCTTCCTGATTATCAGTGCTGTCACATCCAGGGAGGAATGTCCCCAACTTCCCCCCAAAGTCCAACGGGAGGACACCTGCCCTGCCCTTAGGTACCTGTGTCTGGCACCAGTGTGGCTCTGTATCACATTTACTGATGGAGACACAGGCAGCAGGGCCTGTGTGGGTGCCTGGGCTCTGGGAACAGGGTGTCCTTCCACAGGGATGCCCTGCCCTGCTGAGGACTGAGAGCTGGACACTGCTGCTCTTGTCTGACAGCATTAACCTTGTGACAGGGTGGTCTCAGCAGCTAGGCCTTTCTTGGACAAGTGTCAGTGTGCTTGGGCTACCAGGAACAAGGATTTGGGGATCTGGATCTACGTGTAGGTAGGGCAGTCCTAATAGGATTTGAGGAGTTAGATCTACATGTAGGGTAGGGTTGTCCTAGTAGGATGTGGTGAGTTGGATCTACGTGTAAGGTAGTCCTAGTAGGATTTGAGGAGTTAGATCTACGTGTAGGGTAGTCCTAGTAGGATTAGGGGAGTTGGATCTACATGTAGGTAGGGTAGTCCTAGTAGGATTTGGTGAGTTGGATTTACATGTAGGGTAGGGTTAGTAGGATTTGAGGAGTTGGATTTACATGTAGATAGGGTAGTCTTAGTAGGATTTAGGGAGTTGGATCTACATGTAGGGTAGGGTAGTCCTAGTAGGGTTTGAGGAGTTGGATCTATGTGTAGGGTAGGGTAGTCCTAGTAGAATTTGGGGAGCTGGATCAACATGTAGGGTAGGATAATCCTAGTAGGATTTGGGGAGTTAGATCTACATGTAGGGTAGGGTAGTCCTAGCCCCACTAGTAGTGTATCCATGGAGCTCCCATGTTAGGATCCAGACTGGGTTTGCTCCTGCAGGTGGTAGATAAAGCATTTACTGTAACTTTGCTCATTGTGACAGTGAAATCTTAACTTGATAACACTATTACTTCTCTCTTTTGTTCCTCTCCACCTCCTCTCCTTCCCCACTTCCCTCAGAAGACCTCACGGCACTCCGGAGGGAGCTCCTTCATCGCTGGGAGAAGGAGTCGCTCCACATCCCCTACCCAGGAGAAACATGTGTCCCACCATGAAAGGCCAAAGAAGGTAAGATCTGCATGGAGGTTGCCAATCCAGAGAGGTACAGCCCTAGGGGATGGAGGTGAGGAGAGGAACAGTGGTTTAAACCCAACAGCTCAAGAACTGGAGGTTGTTGTCCTGCAGAGTTCAAGCTTGAAAGGACAAAAAGCACTGATTAATAATCTGCATTGTGGCCAGCAGGTTAATTGTAGGCAAGAACAATAATTAGTATAAACTAGGGAGTACTTTGTTAGTCAGATTAAGCAGCCACAGGGTTTGAGTCTACCTGTGGAAACAGTTTATCTTCATTAAACAATTATTTAGAAGAACATCGTGTGCCAGATCTGGCTGAGACCAGAGTTATTTAACTCTCTGGTTAAGATCTACTCCTAAAACCTGCTGCAGGGTTACAGGACATGTTAACAGCACACCAAGGTTCATAATTAACCAACTGACTCATGTGACAAATGCTCAGATTTCAAGGCAAAGCAGCAGTGAACGTGCAGGGCAGAACCTCAGCAGCCTCCAGGTTCTGAAAAGGGTGTGCAGGTCCTGGGTCTGTACCAAAATGAGGTGACCAGAGGCTTGGGTGGAGTTGTTGTTTACAGCAATAAATAGCCCTAAAAGGCAGGACTAGTGTTTTTTTGGAGGATTCAGGTTCTAAGGCAAGTGGCAGCAGATTAGGAAATCTTTCCTACCCCTTGATGGCCACATTTGCAGTGTGAAGAATCCACCACACACAGTGCACGTGTCTGTCCGAGGCACTGGGGCAAGATCTGGAGCAGAATTGAGTTATACAGGGATAGTGTCAGTATGGTCTGATAGTTTTTAATACTTTATGGGCCACATCCTGGGTTTTGTTAACAGAAATCATGGAATCATGGAATGGTTTGGGTTGGAAGGACCTTAAAACTCATCCAGTTCCAGCTATGGACAGGGACACCTTCCACCAGCCCAGGTTGCTCCAAGCTCCATCCAACCTGGCCTGGAACACTCCCAGGGATGTTCAGCCACAGCTTCTCTGGGCAACCTGTGCCAGAGCCTCAGCACCTCACAGGGAAGGATTAGTGCTAATATCCCACCTCACCCTGCCCTCTGGCAGTTTAAGGCCATTCCTCCTTGTCCTATCACTCCTGTGAAAAATTCCTCTCCGACCTCCTTGTCAGCCCTCTTAACATACTGGAAGGTACTCTAAGTTCTCCCCAAAGCTTTCCCTTCTACCAAGTCACCTCTGGATATATACTACTGTAGTCAAAAGCCAAATTTTCCATGTATAAACACAGCTGATGTTGTCCCTGCAAATTGCCACAGGAACCTTTTCATTCTGTCTGTTTACTTCTCTTCGGTTTGTTTTTGTCCCGTTGCACTGGCAATGTGTAAATCATTTTGAGTGGGAATGACAGTGACCTACATCCAAAACCAGCTCCGTGACACTTCCAGTGGGTTATGTGGCCTAAGCCTGATGGATCTCAGCCCAGTTTCTGGAGGCCAAGGGCATTCAGCCTTCCCAAGGCAGCTAGGCCACCAGTTAATCCCACTGACACCCTCGTGGCATGCCCAGCTGAGAGTCCATAAATTCTGTGGGCAGGGAAGACAGCTCTGCCTTTATTTACAGAGGTTATCCCACAACATCCAGCTTGAAACGCTGCCCACAGTGTCCATGACGTGCTGGGAACTGTGCCCAAGCTGTACCTGATACTTGGGCAAACAAGGAAACCTCAATCCCAAAGTGGTGCCGACACGGAGTCAGGAATTATCCTCCTGCCCACGAGGACTATTTACTCCTCTTGTGTGCTCAGCTGCTGCGAGCAGAGGAGGAGGAGGAGGAGGAGGAGGGAGGGAGGAAGAGCATCTGAGCCATGGCTGGGGAGAGTGTGCTTGGCACAAGGTGCTGGGCTGTACTGGAACGTGCTATTTTTATCCAGCAAGCTGTGGGAAGGGGGGGAAAGGGCAGGATCAGGGAGATTGACAGGGGTTTGGAGGGCTCAGCTGGAATTAGTGCTGACAGACTGGGCAAGGCCAGGGCTGGGGACTGGGCTGGGCTTTCTATATTTGCCCTCTCACGTGCTTGGCAGGTAGGAGCAGGAGTGGTGCTGCTCCCAGGTTGGGTTGGAAAGCAGGTCAGCGCCAGAGGGAGAGCAAACAGCAGGATGTGGATGTATTTATAGGCTCTTGGTGGCGTTTGCCACTATTGTTAGCTCTGGGTCCTCCCAGACGTGCAGGGACTTGGTCTCTGCTGCCTCACTGCTCTCCCTCCTCGTGGCTCAGCAGCTTTGGAGGCAGCACATCCCATGGAGGAGCCTTCCAGGGCTGGGATTGCTTGGCACAGCCTCAGCCAAGTGCAGCATCAGCTCCTTCCACTCGCAGAGGAGTCAGCAGAGAGGGGTGGGCAGGCTGAGCAATCTCTCTCAGCTTCCAGGGCCGAGTGCAGCAGTTTCCAGGTGTGGAGTGCAGGGAGGAAGGTGTGGGAGTAGTGAGTGGACAGAGCTCAGAGGGTACCTGGAGCGGGGGCTGAGCCAATTCCTTCCCACACGGTGTCGGAGTACGTGACTAGCCAGGCATGATCTAACCACACGTGTTCCCTGGGAACTGGGAGTGCTGCTGGGCTGGCCTGGAGCTCAGCAGCTTTGCCTTGAGCCTGTCCAGCTGTACAGGAGGTTGGGCACATCCTCCTGGAGCTGGAGGAGTTGCAAGGAGAGATCACTCAGCAGCAGCCAAGAGTGACTGTGAGCAGGGACTCACCTGAGCTGCAGGTGCTTCCTTAAGGCTTCCTTCCAGAGCAGGACTGGGGCTGCTTCCTCAGCCTTTACAGAGGAAAACTCAGAGTTAATAACTGACAGGCTCAGGATTTAACCCAGTGGCTCAGGATTTAACCCAGTGGCTTCAGTGAGACAGCAAAGACTTGGGATTTGGACTCCTAAGCCCTGCTGTAAGTGCAGCATTTGTGAAGAGTCTTGTTCTCTGCACAACAAGGAACAATTGTGACGTGGGACTGCATGTCAGCATCACATCCCCCTCCTCTTGCAGGCACAAATGACACCAGCCCAAGCATTTCTTTCTATGCTGATCTGAAAATGGGAAAGCTCCAAGCTTTGGGTTTTCCTCAGAACATACCAGGCCTTTCTCTTGCTTTTTTCAGGGCTGGTGTTGTAGTGTGTGTGCTGTGCCCTGTGGGAGCCTTTGCAGGGCTTGTTAGTTAAAAAAAAAAAAAAAAAAAAGGCAAGAAGAAAGAAAGAAAGAAGGAAAACAATAGCTAAATCCCAAGAAGAGGCTGGATGACGCACGGGGGTGAATGAAGTACAGATGTTCTGTCACCTATATTGTCTGTTTGAAAAAATGACCACACATCATGAAATGGAATTTGTCACACCAGGAGCAGACAGGAGCACAGGCACTGCAGTGTTTTTAGGCACATCCCCCATGGAGGGAGACACTCACCCAGTGTTATTCTTAGTGAACACCTGGAATCCATAAGTAAAATCAGTCAGCTTGTAATTTGGAGATGGAACTTTGTTGAGAGAGGAACAGTCCCTGCCCAGGGACATGGGAAAGAGGCAGGCACTTAATCATGGAATCATGGATTGGTTTGTGTTGGAAAGGACTTTTAAACTCATTCTGTTCCACCCCCTGCCATGGGCAGGGACACCTTCCACTAGCTCAGGTTGCTCCAAGCCTCATCCAACCTGGCCTGGAACACTCCCAGGGATGGAGCAGCCACAGCTTCTCTGGGCAACCTGTGCCAGTGCCTCAACACCCTCACAGGGAGGAATTTCTTCTTAATATCCAATCTAAATCTCCCTTCCTTCAGCTTAAAACCATTAAGCTTGGAGCTATCAGCCCAGCTGCAGCTGTTCTCAGGTCTAGGGGCAGAGCCAGTTCTCCAGTCACAACACACCTTTAGCTCCTGAAACTGCTTTATTGGGCTGCAAGAGCTGTGTCTATCCTGACCTTTTAGCCACAAGCTCCTGATCCCTTGGCATCCAAGCAGGTGCCTGGCAGATCCTGCCTCCCCCTGCCATTCCCTAGCTGTCAGGACCTGATGCCAGGGGAGGAGATGAGCCAAGGATCCAACCTGGCAGATTTATCACACTAGTGAAGCTGTTCTGGGCTGAAATCTAGCCCCAGTGGGTCTGTGAGGGACTGGTGACAGAGATCTGCCTCAGGGTTCTGTGTCCATGCAGGCAAAGTGATGTTTTTTCCAGGTGGGTTGCAGGTGGCTGCTTGCAAGACTAGCCCAGGTTTTTGGGGAAGGAGTATTGAGCTGAATCTGCTCTGATCTAGCTATAAACAGCCTCATTCCATAGCGTCCTTGACTGGCTCTGTGACCTCCTGTCATGTGGGTGTTTAACCACCCCCATGAGCAATGGGTGCAGGGATGGTTTGGGAGCACACAAAGTCTGCTGAGAGCTGGCTGTGTGTTCTTCTGGAAAAGTCTCACCCACTCAGAAGGTGTGAAATCCCCAGCAGGACTTCGTGTCCCTCTGTCCAGTGCTGCCTTCCTTCTCACTGCTGCTGCCATGGCTGCAGCCCAGAGCCAGCCCTCCTCCTCCTCCTCCTCCTCCTTCTTCTTCTCCTCCTCCTCCTTCTCCTCCTCCGGGTGTGGGAGTTCAGAGAGCCTGGGAAAGAGGGAGGGAGGGAGCAGAGCCCACTTGGCTCTTCCCAGCTCTCAGCTCTTCCCTCCCTCCTTCCTCTGCCCAATCTACTTTTAATGATCCAATTGCTGGTGTCCAGCAGATGAGAAGAGGGGGCTCAGGGAAGGGGAGACGGAGGTGGAGGAGCTGCTCACAGCCCTTTTTGGCAGCGAGAGATCCCCTTTGGTTCCTCCTGCTCTGGGGAGCTCGAGGGGAGCTGTGTCTCTGTCACGCCCCTGATGCAGCCTGCCCTGCTCCATGCCCACATGCCAAGCCCCAGCTGCTCAGTCCTGCATGGGGAGAGCTTGTTTTCCATGAAGTTTGGTGCAGGGGGCAGGTTCCCATTCCCTGCAGACCACAGCTCACCCAGCCAACCTGGGGCAGGGAACACCGAGCGGCTGCAAGGTAGGGCTGGGCTTGGTGGGATGGGGGTTTGGAAGGTTTGCTGCTCTCACAGTGCATCCTCCCTCCTCCTCCTCCTCCTCCTCCTCCTCCCTTGACTTCATGGCACAGCCAGGCAGGTCTGTGACTATATTGTCCATGAAGTTTCCTGGAAGGAGTTTGCAGAGGAAGGTACCTGTGTGCCAGGGAGATGCAGGTGGGGACAGAGGAGCCAGGTGGGGAGAGCACATGCTGCTTCCCCCTTCTCTCCTTGCCCTTCCCTCCCTGTGGCTCTTGCAGGAAGCATTTGAAGCTTTCTGCTTCCTGCAGAGAACCCACAGGTTTAAAAGCCTCTGGTGTAAGGTGGGGAACACCCTGGGTTGTGTGAGAGCCTGTCAGATAGGCAGGAAGGACTGAACACCCCAACTTTCAGTGCTGTGGTCATGGTAGGCAGCACTGCTTTCCCACCAGTGCCACGGTCTGGGAACCTTCCCACCAGTGCTGTGGTCCAGGAGCAGCCCAGCTCATCCATGGGGTGTCCACAGGGTAACAGAATTGCTTGTCCTGCCTGTTTAACACTGCATTTCTCCAGTAATACTGAAGAATAGGTCAGATCCTGTTGCCTTTTGAGCACCCAAAAGTATCAGAGATACTGGAGGGTGGGAGACAGGTGCTAACTGGGAGTGCAAAGGCAGTGAGCACCCAGACTAGGCAAAACTCAAGCCTAGAGAGCTCTTGGGTGCACAGTCCTGTGGGTTACTGATCTTCCTGAGCAGAAATGACATGGAGAAGCTGGAGAGGACATGGTGTGGAAGGGGAGAAGTGCTCACTCAGCACATGGAGCAGCAAGGTGTTCCTGAGGAGCTCTCACAGGCTGCAGTGGTTTGGGCTTCAGAGCAGCCCTTGGAGCAGAGCTCAGAGTTTGGGCTCTGGGGGACAGATTTTCTCCATAGTTGGAGTGCAGTTGCTAAGCACATGGAGTTGAGACCACATCTCAGACCTTCAAAAGAGCTCCATCCCCAGCACTGAGAGTTTTTGGAAAACCTGCTCATTTCTCCAAGTGCCTAAATGGGAGCTGAGGCATTCCAGAAATCTGGTCCTATTGTGCAGGCTGAATATGTACATATGTACCCACTCCCACATGGAAGCAGAGGACTGCTCAGCTAGCTGCTGTAGGCTCTTTGCTGACAGCCAAGGGAGGTTTTCCAGCCAGGAGCCAGCCAGGATTTTGAAGTAGGAGGATGTGCATTTGGTGGTGACATTGTGGGGGGTTTGTGGCTCACTGTCGTGAGAGTCAGGACATTTCTGCCTTTCCCCACACTCATGTGAAGGTTCATTGTCATTAGTCAAAGTGGTTTGGCTCTGCCTTAGCTGAGCTTGGCCACAATACGTGACATTAAATCAGCCAGGGCATCCCACTCCCTCCTGCTGCTGCTTCACCATGGAAATCCATTTGGGATTCAGGGTCTGCAAATGAGAGAATTCTGTGCTGTTCAGAAAGTTTCAGGACCAGGTTTGTGCAGTTCTTTGGCAAAATGTCTTGTGATGAGGTGTGTGGCTCCTGCTTTCCATTCCTGCCTTCCCCATGGGGCACTGGCAGTACCTGCAACTAGGTGAATGTGTGTCCAGGTGATCCCTGAGTTTCTTTGTGAATTTATGGATGACTTGCTGGGAAACATCAGCAAATTCTCTCTTCCCACATGCCCTGCTTTCCCCATTTGTAAAATGAGATGGAGATATTAAGGCCTATTACTACTATAGGAGTACTGAGCACTGATGTGCACGTGGGCTGTGACAAACTGCTTAATGAGCTGGGCCACAGCTTTCCTATTTTCCTGGCCTAGGAGACCTGGGAGACTTGGAGTTTAGAGCACAAAAAGCTTCCAACATATTTAAAACATTATGAGTTTTAGTAAAGATTTAATTTCAATTTGTCTTTTGGCACTTAGGCTGGAGAAATCACATTTTCAAGCTTTCCTTGTTCACTGCCAAGGCTGGAAATGTGTATTTAAAAAAAGGGGGGGGGGAAAGGAAAATAGAGATTCTTGTGAAATATTGTAGGTCTAGGAAGAGAGGTTTGAACAAATATTCCAGGAGTCCTGTGATAAAGTGATGGATTTTGGCTGTGCTGATTGGGCACTCAGTAAACTCCTGGAAGGTCTAGGCTGGATTTGCCTCCTCTTTTCACCAGTTCATCCCAGTGGAGTCTTCCCTGGTGTCCTGGCTGCAGCATAGGCCTCCTCCTGCCCAAAAATTCAGCCAAACCCACACTGGAAGGTGCTGATTTCTGGAGCACTTTTGCTTCACTTCACACCTGCTTTCCCCAGCCTTTTCCTTCTGCCTTGTTTTCCCATTTAGCCTATTTTTCCTGAAGCTAAATCATAGAATCATGGAATCAACCGGGTTGGAAAAGACCTCCAAGATCACCAAGTCCAACCCTACCCTGGTCACTAGACCATGGCACTAAGTACCACATCCAGTCTCAGCTTGAAAACCTCCAGGGATGGGGAATCCACCACCTCCCTGGGCAGCACATTCCAATGCCTGAGCACTCTCTCCAGAAAAAAATCTCTTCCTAAGACCAAACCTAACCCTCCCCTGGCAGAGCTTGAGTCTGTGCCCTCTTGTCCTGCTGCTGGTTGCCTGGGAGAAGACACCAACCCCCACCTGACTCCAACCTCCTGTCAGGGAGTTGCAGAGGGTGATGAGGTCTCCCCTGAGCCTCCTCTTCTCCAGGCTGAACACCCCCAGCTCCCTCAGCCTCTCCTCATGGCACTTATGTTCCAGTCCCTTCACCAGCCTCGTTGCTCTGCTCTGGACCTGCTCCAGCATCTCAATATCCCTCCTGAACTAAGGGGCCTAAGTATTCCCCACTCTCCTCTCCTCCCCAAAACCACACAGTGGAGCTGTATCAGGTCACTGAAAACACCTTAGATTTCACAGGACCATCCCAAGAGCACCTAGAGAATAACTCCTTGGGCACAGCCCATTCCCCAGGGGAATAGAAAATCAAGGCAGGCAGGACTTGGTGTTTCTCCAGCTGTGATTTTTCCTTGGGTTGCAGTTTGAAGAACCCCGTGTTTCTGGTGTTTTAGTGGAATTAAAACCAGGATGAATAAACCAAACTGAGTAGTCTGTGCTCTGTCAGCAGGGACAGCCCCAGCCAAGCTGTCTGTACTGGGAGAGGACACTGGGGGATCTCTGGCTCAGGTTCTGAGTTCTCCACTGCCTCATCTCTCTACCTGTGCACGTGCAGCACACGCTGGAATCAAGGTTTTCCCATTTTCTCTCCAGGATGGAGCTGGGAAACCCTTGAAGAAGGCAGAGAGGGAGGGGGAAAGGGGCACAGAGTCCCTTTGGGGAAAGAGCAAGAGGAAAGCTCAGGTTTCTTGAAATCAGCCAGAGCTTGTTAAGTCCTTCCCTATCGTCTTACCATAAACTGATTTGGGGCTTCTGTTGCTATTCTGCACTCCAGATGTTGGCTGCAGCTGGGGCAGAGATAGTGGGATGCTTCCAGGCAGAAGCTGAGACGTGGGGGAAGGGCCCCTGGGCTCGTGTGGATGGGTGGAGAAGGGAAGAGGGACACGAATGTATGGTTGTAAATCCAGCCCTACACAGCCTCCTTTCTTTTCCCTTACAACTGTTAACTCTCAGCAGAGGGAAAGTTAGCCTTCCAGTGCTCTCTGATTTCTTTTCCAGAGTCGGAAGGACAAAGAAAGACCTAAGCAGAAGCACAAAAAGCGAGCGGAGTCCCCCAGCAGCATCCCCCCAGCCCCAGCGCCTGTCACCACCACCGACAAGGTACCAACCCAGGGCACCTGGGGAGGGAGGATGGGCAGAACCAGCCACCCTGGCTTTCCTGGGCCAGGGGGAGGATGTGGCAGAGGAGCAGAGAAAGGGCTTTTGTGCATGAGTTTTGATTCCTGATTCGTCACATTGCCTCTCTCTGCCTGCTCCCACCTCGGCCCCACCTTGGGAACTGCAGCTGTGCTGATCCCTGGCAGCACTGACTGCACAATCACCGAGTGAAGTCCCCAGGGGCTGAGCTGGAAGTGCCAGCCTGCTTTGCAGCAGATGTGCACATTTGAAGCTCTCACAGAAGAGATTATTATTATCCAAGGTTTGGCTTTTGCTGCTGCCACGTCGTGACCAGCCCAGGCAGGTGGGACAGCAAGGCAAGGCCTGGGGGAGTGTTAGCTTTTATTAGACTTAGGTTTATCCTTTTTTTTATTCCTTTTATCCCCTTTTATTCCATTTAATTATCCTTTATTAGGGGAGAAACATCACAATCCTAGGAGCACTTAAGATCTTCAAAGTGCATAATCGAAGCAGCTTTTCTGTGTGAGCACTGGGAGTTTGGGTTCTTAGCTCCTCCATTCCAGGACAAGAGAGGCACAGTGTGGTGACCTGTTGTGCTCCTGAGGTGTAGAGACAGTCCAGTTCTCTCCTGAGAAGGTGTCACCTCTGTGGGTTTGTCTCCTCCATGCCCAGGTGGGGCACAGTCAGAGTGTCTATGCGTCCCTGTGATTCCCTGCTGAAATGATGCTGCTGACAGGGACTCACCCCTGGCTGTAAATCAGGGCAGCCCTGAGCTTTCTGGAGCCCCTGATAGCCCCAAACTCCTTTCTGTGGTCCCTGACAGTCCCAAACTCCTTTCTGTAACCTTTGTCAGCCCCAAACTCCTTTCTGTGGTCCCCACAGTCCCAAACTCCTTTCTGTAACCTTTGTCAGCCCCAAACTCTTTCCTGTAACCTCTGCAGCCCCAAACTCCTTTCTAGAGCCTCTGACAGCCTCAGACTCCTTTCTGTGGTCCCTGACAGCCCCAAACTCCTTTCTGTAACCCCTGACAGCCCTAAACTCCTTTCTGTAACCTCTGACAGCCCCAAACTCTTTCCTGTAACCCCTGACAGCCCTAAACTCCTTTCTGTAACCTCTGACAGCCCCAAACTCTTTCCTGTAACCCCTGACAGCCCTAAACTCCTTTCTGTAGTCTCTGACAGCCCCAAACTCCTTTCTATGGCTCCTGATAGCCCCAAACTCCTTTGTATAACCCCTGACAGCCCCAAACTCCTGTGGTGCTGCACAGACACAGCTGAACTTGCCTTGATCTTACACACAACAAGGTAAAGGCCAAGTTTGCAGTTGTTCAGGGTCAGGGAACAAGTGAGGTCACTCCAGGGCTTGGAACATTGGAGCTGAACTCTGGTGTGGGAATGTAAATTAGTGCAGCTCCAGGGCTGTTTGGTGTGAGCGAGAGCAGGACTAGGGCCAGGCTCCTGCTACAGCAAATAAACATGTCCCAGGAATGTCCTTTTGTGCCCAGAAATGCTGCTTGGAAAGGTTTGGGTGTCCTTTCCGTGGCAGGAAAAGGAGAATTCCCAGGTTGGCAGCATGTCCCTCTGTGGGAAGCACTACAGGAGCAATGCTGGGAGGTGAAAAACTCCTGCCAGGCAGCACAGGGTTAGGAGTGAAGAGGATTTTCCATGTTCTGTGTGAGGCCAAGGAGTGGATGTAGGTCAGAGCTGCCAGGGCAGAGCTGGGCTCGAGGTTCTCAGGCTGGGAGCAGCAGAAGGTTACAGCAGAGCAATCTCTGAGCTGCCACCACTGCTGATCTCCCTGTGCTGCTGTGGGGGCAGCTCAGCTCTGGCTGTAGGGAGCAGCAGATTCACCTGGTTAACGGAGCTGACAGGACCTGATGGCCTGAGAAGATTATTTTCAAGCTGAACTGAAACCCAAAACCTGCCTCTTGGCCAGGCAGAGCAGTTGTCAGACAATCACCCACTGTCTCCTCCAGAGTCCTGCCAGACCTTTGTAAACACAGAGGGAAGGGTGTAATTCACTTTTACAGGCAGCTTTCAGCTCTTTGTAAGCTGAAATTCAGGAGATCCTAATTCCTGTGGCTGCACTGGAGCTGACAGGGGTTAGTGTTTCCCCAGGGACTTGTTATTAATCCTCATAATGGGGAATGTATTTCACTTTTTGTGCTTTTTTTTTTCTTTTTTTTTCTGCAGAGATCCCAAAGTATTGTGCAAACTCTGTTACCAAAGATCAAATGTAAGAGCTGCTCAGCAGCTACAACCCTGCACAACCCCCTTGGGGTGGTTGTGTGAGGCTTTCTGGATTGTTCCACCAGTGAAAATTGCACAGACTAATGTAAAACCTTGAGCCACAGCAATGTAGCTTGACAAAAATGACAGAGGGAAGTTAGATAGGATATTGGGAAGGAATTCCTCCCTGGGAGGTGCTGAGACACTGGCACAGGTTGCCCAGAGAAGCTGTGGCTGCTCCATCCCTGGGAGTGTTCCAGGCCGGGTTGGATGGGGCTTGGAGCAACCTGGGCTAGTGGAAGTTGTCCCTGCTCATGGCACTGGATGAACTTTTAGCTTCTTCCAGCCCAAACCATTCTATGATTCTATGATTTAAACAGGTTTCTTTTTGGAAACCAAACCCATCTTGGTCCTATCTGCATCTCCAGCTGGTACAGCTCATCCCAGAAGGGTGTCCTGGGAAGTGGATTGGGTAGGTGCAGCTCAAAAGTGGATGTTCATAGTGTGACCATACAGAAGAGCATTGCTAGTCCCTGTGTGCCATGGTCAGAGCCTGAAGAGAACTGGATATCTTCCTCCCCTTACTATTTTATTGCTTCCATGGTTTTCTGCAAGTCACCCAATGAACCAGAGCATGGATAATAATCCCTGCAGGTGACACAACCTCTGTCTTTCCTGGGGAGCAGCTGGGAGAGAGCAGGAGGCACTGAGCACCATCAGTGGTTTGGATTTTTTCAGGGCTATATTCCCATATAGTAGAAGTTTCAAGCTCCTTCCAGGTCAGGCTGACAGCAGTGGAACTGTGTGGTTGCTTAGGAGGAAGAGTGATGTATTACACTTGTTGTCCCCTCCTGGCTTTACATTCTACTCTAATTTTGCACTCCAGATTTATTTTTCAGCTCCAATTTTCACCTAATATGTCATCAAGCCTGTGCTCCTCTCTTGAACCATTTAGTTATGGCAAAGGTCCTTTGATGTGGTTTCAGTCTTCCTCTTGCAATCAGTTGTGCTAGAGCTCTGACTCCTGCCAGATTCTCCAACAGCTCCCTGAGAGCTTCCCTGAGTCTTCCAGGAATCCAGACACCACTAATATCTGACACTTGGACCCTGCCAGGCCTCTGTGTGCTGTCTAAGCAGTGAGCAGCTCTCACGAGCTCTGCTTTGGTGGATAAACATCCTGAGAACACAGAAGTGGCCTCAGCTCTCATCTACACCGGAAAGTGAAACTGGGTGTGAATTCACAGCATGCAAATGTCTCTTCAGAACACCTCTGAGCTCTCCTCCTGCCTCTGAAACGCTCTTGGAGCTGTCAGAGAAGGGCAAGAGACCTTCTGGCGGGGCACAGGGGTGTCTCTTCCACAGCACAACCTGCTAGAAACCTCCACTGCTGCTCCAGGATGGATGGAGGGTGAATTTGGGCTGGTTCACTCTTATTCTGGCTACTTGGAGCCCCCACAGGCTTCACAGGGGAGTGAAGAAGGCAGAAAATATCTCCTCTGGGCAATAGTTTGTGGCTGTAATAGTTTCTGGCTGTTTCACATGGTCTGTCCAAGCTGCTGCCAACTAGTAAAGCTTTTGAACATCCTGTTGGAAAGATGAGATCCATGGATCAGGCCTGGGGCAGAGGAGGAGCAGTGAGTCTCACCAATAAGTCTTGGCAGCCAGGGATGCTCTGTCTGTAGTCACACACCCCCAGCCAAATTCCAGAGGCAGTTTTTGTGCTCAGCATCCCTCAGTGTAGCTGGGATTGGGGTTGGTGAGCAGCCTGGAGGCTTCAAGGAGAGTTTACAGCACCTTCCAGTGCCTAAAGGG